AAGTTAATGACAAAGGAATTTCATTGCTTTTTAGTAGAACTCACAAAAAACTTAACATTGAGAATTTAAAAAAAATTAATTTAATAATTTTCCAAATACTTGGCACTGACCACATCTTCTAAAGCGTTCCGTCCACACAGGGAAAGTCAAAGGGCCAGGACCACTCGTGTTACTATTTTAAATAAGTGGCCCCCTTCTAATTATTCCCTAATCATCTAACTTTGAGGATTGGATTCCATGGAGGAAGCATTGCTTCTAAGGTGTCAGGGTGAGAATCATATTTAAAGTGTGATATGAGACATGAGGCCGAGCACACACAGAGTCTCTAGTTTCCGGGTTATTGATGGATCTTTGTTCCAACAGATCTTTTCAAATGCTACCTCTCCCCGCCATGCAGATGAGATATTTTTCTAGCCCGTTGTAGTTGAAGCCTATCTGATGTTGGCTGTGGAATTGGATGTGTCTGAGTGTCCTGGGGTTTCTGTCCTTTAGCTGTGTTAGGACAATTGAGACAAATCTCTAGGTTCCCAACAAATTCTCGTATACATTATTCATAACGGTTTTCTGTTAGACTAAACTGCTCTAGTACCAATTCAGGTCTCTCTGGAAACCCACTATAAATCTTTTTCTATTCGAGAAACCAACCATTTATCAAAGTAAATAAGTAAATACATTCTCCTCTTAAGGTAAGTGTGTATGTATAAAATCTAAAAGAACCTACTTTTTTAACCTTCCTATGCTATGTCTCATTCTTTCTTCATTTTTCCCCTTTTCCTATATATATATCAATAGTATTTTCTTCTTCCTTGCATTTGGGCCATTTTGAAAGGTCAAATCTTCCTTTTCTACAGTATTTCATTACCCGTTGGCCAGCTTAACAGATGAAAGAATAATGCCTCCTCCTTAGATAGAGGCAAATATGAATTCTCCAAGGGGGTCTGACCTTAGACCAAGAGAAGTGGACCTATCTCACCATTAAATTAAAAGATTTAGATACATAATGAGATAAATGAAATTACAAAAAAATAATTTTTAACCAGAATCGTGCATTCTGTTTCGTTTTAATTAGATAGTTAATTGCATCAATACCTGCTGTGTTGGTTCATTTTCAGGTCTGTGTTAACCTGAGCTGTGCATTACCATGAATCTAAGTATCAGAAATACAAAAGTCTTCTTATAGTAACATTTATTATTAACTACATCATGACAGAACTTTTAAAATCAGTTGTTTATGCCTTACAACAATTTGTTAATGAATGTTTTTCATGCTAATTTGAAAGATCTGAAAAGGCCTTTTATAAACAGCTTCTAGAAGAATTGAAATAATTCCAAAGCGGAATTATTGGTGGGAGAATTCACTCTTGGTTCTTTCGGGGGGAAGTTGTGAAAGAAAGAAATGAAAACATTAGGTGTCCAGGATGATAAATTCATAAAGGGACATACCCAAGGTCATGTATGTGACAATTTTCAGGATGTACTGAAAGAGGACATGGTATTTGTGTTTTATGTTTACTCTTAAGAATAGTGAAGTTTGGCAGGAATGTTGGGCTTTTCATTATTGTGTCTATGGAGCACTTATTTATAACTTCTTACCTGTAGTACGCTTCATTCTATTTGTTTACTATACTGCACCTGAGTGGAAAATGTACCTAGGATTTTTGCTTTAGAATGTTACATCATTTTACACATACATACACACACACACACACAACCCAACTTTTTTGTTTTGTTTGGTTGTGAATAATGACTTTGAAATAAGAACACTTCATTTTCAGCCACATAACTCTACATTGTTAAATGTTTGGTCACGGTGTCCCCAGTTAACAGCTGTTCATAGCTCCCTGTCTATGTATGTGAAGTGCATTTACAGACACTTGACGATTAGCTGATTTTCGTACAACACATTGTTAACCAACTTGAATAGTTATTTCAGACCTTCACTGTTGGAGATGGCAGCCAAGAGTGACAGGTGACTCTTCTAATTGCCATGAGATAAAATTAAATCAGATGTAAAGCCTAGTTCTTCAGTATTTCAAGTGTTCAATGGTCACATTTGGACAGTGGCCACCATTTAGGAAAGGTGAGATTATAGAACATTTCTGTCATTGCTGAAAGGTCTATTGGACAGCACTCATGAAACAAGGGATTTTTTGTGTGTGCAGCATTCATTGGCCAAACATCTTCTAAAAAGTCTGAAAATCTCTCCTTGGTATTCCAACTCTCTAATTTTGTACAAAGCAGCACATCTCAGGATGTCTGGTCTCCGTGTAGCTTTCTGAAGGCTCTGAGTCCCTCCATGTGCAGTGCGAATTGGGTGTTTTCCCTGTGGTCCAAACACTCCAGGGGACCAAGGGAAGTCACTAGCCCCTCTAAAGACAGCAGGCTGATGGCTTGAATCTTTCAACATTGTATACTCATTTTAAATGAACTTGCGTTCCAATGTATTTCCTCTGTTAATCCCACCTGTATTAGTTTGCTGAAGCTACCACAATAAACTACTGCAAACCGAGCAGCTTAAACAACGGAATAAAAAATGGAAAATTTTGTTTCCTGTGGTTCTGGAGGTTTGAAGTTCAAGATCAAGGTCCCAGAAGGATGGTTTCCTTTCAAAAGCTCTGAAGGAAAATATGTCCCATGCATCTCTGCCAGTTTGCAGTGGTTGCCGGCAATCCTTGGGGTTGCTCGGCCTGTGTCTGCATCTCTCCGACATCTGCCCCCATTGTCACGTGGTGTTCTCACTGTGTGTCTCCGCATCCCAATTTTCCTTGTCTTACAAAGACACCAGTCATTGAACCACACAGTCCTCACTCATCCAGTATGAACTCATGTTGACTATACCTGCAAAGACCCTAATTCCCAGTGAGGTTACAGTCTGAATTCCTGCAGGTCAGGGCTGGAACATGTCTTGTTGGGAAACACAATTCAACCCATAACAACATTCTTTAGCTTTCTCCTTCCCTGCTGCTCTTGAAGAATACTTTTTCTCCTTTTCACTTCATGATTTTACCCCAGGAAATGAGTCCAAACTCATGACTTAGAACATGGGAAAAGTTTTTTTTAATTTGGAGGGAGAACACAAATTAGTGATTATGGTGGAATTCACAGAATTGGGACAAGTTGAAACAGATGTTTCAACTTCTCCTTCTCTACGTGCAGGTTAGGAGAAGCATTTGATGCCTGCGCTCATGACACAAATATCTGGCCACGTCCCCCGGAGATGCAACTATTATTGGGCTCTCCATTCAGAGACGTAATTTGGGGCTTTAACGTGGCTTTTCCCGAAACCCTAAGATGAAGCCTGATTACAATTTGAGAGAGAGAGGAGGAATTCGGTTGAAACAGACATAAAATTCAAGTAACTGCTCTGAAGTACCATTCGACAGCCCGAGATGGTGAACTAGTGCTGTAATCAAGGGTGTCACATTGAATTGCGATGCTGAGACACGGAATGTAACTTTTACAACCGTAATCTCAGGCTCTCTAGACTCTGATTGAGATGCCAAAGAGAAAAGTCAAGGAAAAGTGGCATTTTTATCAGCATCAACCACAAGCGAAAGAATATATGGCCATGGATCAGAGACCCTGACTTATTTGCAGGAGCGTAAGTGTGAAAATGACCTACGTCCTCATTGGGCATCTGAGATGTATTGAGTGAAGCAAGACCAGGTTCGATCAGGAGGAAAGGTGTTATTCCCAGACTAAAGGAGTCCAGAAAGTCTGAGTAGCCAAATAGGGAAACCAGATGCCACCTCAGTCTTCTGAAAGTCAAACTCACAGTCAACGTCGTCTGCTGACTTAATATTCTTTACATGGTCGCCCTGTGTGTTAGCTTTCTAGGGCCGCCGTAACAAGGTACCACCAATGAAGTGGCTTACGATGGTTGTAAATGTACTGTCTCTAGGTGCTGGGTGCTAGAAGTCTAAAATCAAGGTGTCAGGAGGGCCCCCTTTTTGTCGAAACTCTCTGCATGGAATCTTTGCTTGGTCGTTTATAGCTTTTGTGGTATTCCTTTTCTTGTGGCTTCAGTCATTTCCATCTCTGCCTCCGCCCTCATGCAACCTCCCCGCTTTGTCTCTGCATACGCCTGGAAGTCTTATTTTAAGGCCACCAGATATATTGGCTTAGGGGCCCACCCTACTCTGGTAGGACCTCATCTTAACTAATCACATCGGCAAAGACCCTATTTCCAAATAAGGTCACATTCTGAGGTACTTCAACACGTCATCTGGGGGAAAATAATTTAACCCATAACACCCTCCATATAAAAGAATCTGATAAAATTTTATCAATCTTTGAAGGTTTGAGGTCCAATAATTCTGTCATTTCCAAATATCGAAGCCCATATTTACTGCTCCATTCTTAGAAATGCCCATAGAATTGGGCATGGTGGCTCACGCCTGTAGTCCCAGCTACTCGGGAGGCTGAGACAGGAGGATTGCTTGAGCCCAGGAGTTTGAGGTTGCTGTGAGCTAGGCTGATGCCATGGCACTTGCCCTGGGCAAGAGAGTGAGACTCTGTCTCAAAAAAAGAAAAGAAAAGAAAAGAAAAGAAAAGAAAAGAAAAGAAAAGAAAAGAAAAGAAAGAAAAGAAAAGAAAAGAAATGCCCATACAATTTCACATCCAGTTAACTTCTAATCATTCCCTGCTCAC